ATTTCAGAAGATGGCTTAGGTGTTGGAGTAGGATTTGGAATGAGAATTTCAGAAGAAACAGGTGGTTCTGGTTGGTTTACTTCAGAATTTCTGTGAGAGGGAGATATCAGAAAATCTGGGTGTATATCAGATTCTGATGAATTTGAGGATGTGGTTGGAGTGTAAGATGTGGAGGACACTTCAAAAACAGTTTTGAGAGGTGTAATGTTTAGAACCTCTTTCTCAGGGATATTGGTTCCAGATGGGTTGGTTGATTCTGATGGATTCTCAGAGAGTTTTGATGGGGGTTCAGATGTAGGTGGTTCAGATGTAGGTGGATCAGATGTAGGTGGATCAGATGTAGGTGGTTCAGATGCAATAGGATCAGATGTAACTTTTATAGGTTCAGAAGTAACTTGTGCAGATCCAATAGGTTCAGATGTGTTTGATGGTGGTTTTTCTGGTTGTGGTTGTTTTTCTGGTTGTTGTGGTTGTTGTTCAGATTGTTTTTCTGGTTTTTGTTGTTGTTGTTCAGATTGTTCTGTTGGTTTTTGTTGTTGCTCAGATTGTTTTGTTGGTTTTTGTTGTTGTTGTTCAGATTATTTTGTTGGTTTTTTTTGTTGTGGAGTTTGATTTACTGGTTTTGTTGTTGTTGGTGTTGGTGCAGATGATTGATTTGTAGAAGGTTTTTCAGGAGTGATGGAAACAGGATTAGATGATTTTTGTGGGGAAGGAACAGAGATATGAGATGGAGCAGGAATAGATTGTTTCTGAGTAGAAGGTGGTTTTGGAATAGACTTAAATGTTGAATCATTTAAAACAATATTATTGAAAGAAGATACAGAAGATTTGGTACCTTTAATCTTGATACGCTTTATGGGAACAGAGGGAGCGTCTCCAGATGCTTTCCTCTTGATCAGCTTCTGAGGCGTGTCAGCAACTTTGGGCTTCTTTTGAGCAGTCACTGCTTCTACTTCTGATTGACCTCTTTTCCTTGTATTCTCATTTCCTCCATCAGGAATTGGTTCCCTTGCTCTTTTCAGAATATCTGCAGGGACTGGGGTTCCATCTGCCTTGCAAGACTCAATGTACCTTAGAATTATTTCCCTTGGTTCTTCAGCACAGAACAGAGGGTAGTCTTCTACTGGGATTCTCTTCTGACTTAGTTCAGAGATATTCAGTTTCTTGGGTGTTGATGTGAGTTCCTCTACAATTTTTAGTCTCTGAAGACTCTTGGCATTCAAAGGTTTCCCAATAATAGATTCAAGTTCCTCCTTGACTCCAGCAGCATACAGAGCAGTCACCAGTCCATTTTCTGTCAGAATATCTGAAATTAACCTTCCAAAGGGAATCCATGTTCTGATCTTCTGACCCTTATCTTTTACAGATTCTCTTGAAGCATTAATGTGATTCCATAAGTGCATGAACAAAATGTAAGGAAGATCTACCTTAGTGCTCTGACTTAGATAGTACATGAAGTAGAGCTGTTTATTGTTCATGTAATCTAGAGAGTTTTTAGATTTTCTGTGGTGAATGCATCCCATGAAAATCTTTGCCCAGATCTTGTAGTCAGGCTTCAGATCTTTAAACTTGTTAGAGGCCTGTCCAGCAGTCATGACTTCCTCATAAACTTCTTCCATATCTACACGTCCAGCTGGCAGATGAGATACTTCATCAGTCTCCTCATATCCTATGAGTTTCCTGATTAGATCTTCTGTGATTATAATCTCCTTACCCAGAACAGAAGACAATATGAATTTAGGGTATACAAAAGCATGTATCCAGAATTCTTTCACCAGATGAGGGTAAACTGGTCCAAACAATCTGTCAAAGTATTTTACCCAGCCTTGAGCATCAACTATTGAACGAAATTCAAATCCATTTTCTTGCCATTCCCATCAATGGGATGAACATATCCATCTATGACCAAATCCCATAAATCAGCATCATAACCAAGGAAAAAACTTTCAATCCTGTCTTTCCAATAATCAAATTTCTCCCCATCAAACATAGGGGGTTTAGTGCTGATTCTATCCCTTTCTTCATACTTGTTGTTAATGTTAGCCATTGAATTATCAGCCATAGTAACAATCAAATATATATATATATATATATCAAATTTTTTCTCACTGGATCTTTTCTATCACTGTGAAGTGGTAGCACACACAGAACCGAAGCTCTGATGCCAACTGAAGGTGAGAAAATACTTAGAAGGGGGGTTGAATAAGTATGAAGATAAAAACTTAGAAATAAAAACTCAAGTATTTTTATCCTGGTTCGTTGAACTCAACTACTCCAGTCCACCCTTCCTAGAGTGATTTGCCTTTCTCAAACAAGGACTTAATCCACTATTTAATCAACTGATTACAATAGTAAGCACTAAGAACAACTGTTTAAAGTCTTCTCAAGAACTACTGATCCTAACTAGATCTTCTTAAGGTTTTCTTACAATCAAATGTAATAAAAAAATACAAGTGTTAAAATGTTTCTAATAAAGCTTTATCACAACTGTGATTTTTCACTTAAGATTAAGAATAAAGAAATTAATTCTAGAAAGAATATATGAGTTTGTATGAGAGCTTTGATAATAAATTCTTTTCAAGTGATTCGTCAATTGAAGAAGATGAGTGGATACTTGCTTTTATAGGCACAGTGGTCCAAGAGTATTTCACGTTGAGAAGTGTGTACCAAAAGGTCTGAGCCCTTTTTGTCTTCACATCAAGTGGCCTTTCCTAGAAGAAGAAAGCACAGAGAAATCCTTTTTGTCTGTGTTCTTGTGTCTAGCATAAATAAGGAAAGAGTCGTTTGGATATTCCAACGGACATAATCTTTGAATTCTTCTTCAACAATTTTCAGCAAGAATCATCAGAGTCTAAATTGATCAGAGCCTTCTGATGTTGATCAGAGTTTTGCTGAATCAAAGTCTTTGCAGCAAGTGTGTTTTAGCGTGTATAAGTTCATAGCAGAGTTTTGAGTCAGATCCTCAGTACTGACAGCGTTAGTACTCTCAGAGTCTTCTGAATTAACTACGCTTGAAAACTCTTCATACAGAATTCTTCATTGGTTCAGATGCTTCTGACTTGCTTCAGATTCTTCTGGAGCTTCTGCTTCAGATCCTTCTGGAGACAACGCTCAGGATCTTCTGGTGGCAGCATTCAGAATCTTCTAATGGGTGCATCTGACGCTTCAGAGTCTAGCATATTTCTTATGTTCAGATCTGATTTGCTTCTGGAGTGATATTTACTTTAATATTTGCAGCAAACATTCTTAAGCAAATTTTAGAGTATATAATTCTTAATTACAAAATTTCATAATAGTTATCATCAAAACATAGAGATATTATTAAGAACCAATATGTGTTCTAATAGTAATCTAAGAATTTAGATTCAAGTTAATCAATAGCTTGGTATCACGATTCTCACCGCAACACCTGTCACGCGTCGTGAGCTCCTATGTTCACCGGTGTTGGAGAAGAGGAAGGGGTGTACCTGCAAGGTACTCCGGTGTTAAAGTGAAAAACAGAGTAAGAGAGAGTAAGTACAGAAAGGAGGTGTAAAATTCAGAATACTTGACTCTCTAGTGAAAGAGAGTATTTATAGTGTGCCCTCAGTGCTGGGCCAACGGTTACATTGCAATGGACTGAATTGTCAGGCCCAACACAAGTAACTGACAGGGTCTATGTGGTATAGGAAAGACCAGCACGTGGTCTTCACCCTGGTCCAACTGCCCCGTGATCCTCGGAAGGTGGAAGACCGGTTCTTTAGGACACAGATAATTGGCTCATGACGTGTCTCCGCATGGGAAACACATGGAGAACGTGGGAAAGGCGCGTGAGCTCTCCCCGTACTAGGTAATGGTTTGTCCGACTGCAAAGAGTACTGAGTGTGCCCGACATTATAGAAGATTGGGTCTTACTGGACCTCCCCAATATAGTATTGGGTTAAACATGCCCGACTGTGGAGCAGGTACGGCCCCGATCCAAAACAAACATTTTTTTTATAATATAATTAATATTTTGAGGTTACGCATCAGGAACCAACAGGAAACCAATGACAATATACATGATCATTTATACATGATCATTACTATGACATTCATATGCATCTTTATATGAGTATACGACCTTGAATTAATTCTTGGATAGTAGTAATTTTCAAATACTTAATTAATCCAAAAATGTTTTTGTTATTCCTTATTTGCCACATACAATGCAATAATCTTCAATATCATTCAAATACCTTAAAAACCTACATATTGATTTAAAATTTTAAAAATAACAGTTTACTCATCTAATTACATTTTTATCAGTTTAGAAATCTATTTCAATTTTTTTTAAATGATTAAAAAAACCTACATATTAATATAATTTATATTTGGTACAAATTTATGTTCAATTCCAAAATATCCATACCAGCAATCATATCGGAACATTTTTATGAAATTATCCATACCATACTCTAATAAATATTATCCTACTAAATTTGATTCCCAAGCCGTTTGAATACATATTTCCAAAATCATTTCATGTTTTTTAGTAGCAAGTTGAGAGGAAAACCTCACCCAAAATAATATTCTATTATACAATTCAAGTTCTCAACCGAGTTTACACACCACAAGACAAAAAAAACCGTGGCAGAGAAAAAGGTTAGAAAAATTGGTCACTATTTAATGAAAGCAATAGTGAATTACTGCAGCATTTGTCACACTCACCTTGACTTTGGATTCCAAATTAGGTTCACAAAATGACAACAATTTTGTCCTTAACATATTTTGTTACACTCCTTAAGATTCAATTTAGAAAAATATACAACAATAAGTAGTAATAATTATCCACCAGCAATAATCATTCATAATATAACTATTATTATCATCATGGATTTCTATGCTCAATCTTCTCTTATCTCTCTCTATACACCAAAATGAAATGCAAAAGAGATGATTAAAACATTTTTCTTTTATGACAAAATCGAATCTCATAGTGTTGCCGTGATTTTGTCAAACTTCCAGTGAATCTAAACGCGCTAAAATGCGGCGGCTTCTTTTGCTATGTGGTGGTGTCGCTTTCCACGGCGGTGCCTTCCATTACCGAATGTGACTGGGTCGAATTTTCTTAGTTTTTCAGCTTGTCGCGAATCGATTACACACTCGGGTAGAGGGACTTTGTATCTGGTTTTGTCGTAACAGTAAGAATATGTCATGTGCTTTAACCTAAAGTTGTCCATTTTGATTTTTTCGACTTGTGTTAGATCAGAAGAAGGAAGTGTTTCAGAAGTTTGAAGACTGTTGTCACAGTTAGTCACATGTTCAATAGGATCAACTGCACAACCATGTAGGACAAAGTCAGAGAATTGAGCAACAAAAGGTGCATATTTGTAGTTTACTTTGTATTTTCCTCCATTGGTAGCCCATGTAGATGCATCCCATATGGTTGAATACAATGTCATTGGTTTTGATGGGAAATCTCCTCCCATTGATTCTGTTCTCTTGATTTCTCTTATAGGAACTTCATCTACATAAAATCTGCAAAAGTAAAAAAATTACATGAGAATAAGTCATTATTTGGGCCGTCTGATTTTCATCTAACATGTGAGTGAGAGGAAGAATCATGAACCCTAAAACTTCTTAACATTCCTTCGGCGTCTCAACCCTTAGTACTAAACTACACCTTCAAGGACGCATACGAAACCTACTTGATAACTAGGTTTTCTTGTCTAGTTTTTTTGTCTAGTGGCAAAAATTTCACCCCAAAAAAGTGAATAAGGGAGATGTCATGAATTCAAACGCACACCCTTGCAATCGAATGCCCTTTTATACATATCAACTAGACTAACTTAATGGAATAACTTAATGGGAATAAAATTGATAACTACAGTTTTTTGTCTAATAGTCGGGAAAATATTTCACTCTTAAAAAGTGAATAAATGAGATGTCGTAAATTCAAACGGAAGCTCCTACAAACAAATGTCTTTGAACAACTATCAACTGAACTGACTTAACCGAACCTGAAAGAATATTGGTTCGTAATTGAAGAACTTAGGTGGACAAAAATAGTTATCCAACTACTAAATTTTATAAGGATTTCAATACCTAAGAATTTATCCAATGGTCACATGCCATCAACTTTATATCTTGTGGGTTCCTCCTCTTAAGGGAAAGATACAATTTAATACATTAGTTCTGATGACAAGATTTTTACACATTCTGAGTAAACCATCAATGCACAGAATTGTACATAGTAATAGTCCCACTAAAAGCAAAAACCAGTTTTCACAAAACTGTGGATGTACTAAAAAGTAAAAGAAGAAAACCAAAGACATCTTTGAACAAAAAGTCGTCAAATTACTAAATACAACCAGGAAAATGCTTCAACAGAAAAGGTAATAAAACAACTCAAAAGAAACTTTTTCTATAAAAAGTAAAATATAAATCCAAAAGGGTATATGAAATAATAAAAAAATTAAATTTTATAGATTAGATTTTGCTTACATGATCTTAGAATCTGTCCAGAGAATGCTGTAGTGGTGAAAATCCTCAGAAGGATCAAACCATAGACCATATCTTTCTTCTCTTCCAATGTTTGTACTTCCATTTCCATAAATATTGGTTTGAATCCTCCAATCTTTGCCTCTTATGTTTCCCAAAAATTCAAAGTCAATTTCATCATGGTTCTTCTCATACATGTCACCATTTGATAACTACAACATAAATATAAAATTTGATGAATAAATTTAATAATATCTTCAAATTTCAATAAAATTGCACTAATCACTCAGTCGGATAGAAGCACACTATATCATAAAACTCTATTAAAATATTTAACAATATCTGAAACTATGGTTAGTTTCGAACTCAGAACTCATCCCACCTTAAAAATTAAAAAACTAGAAAATAAGTACTGGACAGGTGGCAGTTTTTCTTTTTTATTTCCAGAATTTCAAACAAAGCAATAAACTTTTACAGGAAAAAAGGGTCAAAAGCAGAAAACGTAATAATGATAATTAATTTTTTTGTCACAAATTTTACAACCAAGCTTCAAATCTCCAACTTGACTAATGAGTTTTAAAAAAATTACACACTTTATAAATATAATTAAAATAAAATTAATAAAAATTAAATTAAATTAAATTAAAAGTATTGTTACTGACATAGAATGCAACAACAACTCCGGCAGTGTAATCAGAAGGTAATTTAATGGAAGCACCGAAATACCCATGAAGGTAAATATCATGAGAAGCAAATCCAGAGCCTGAAAACATAAAAAATAAAATAAAATAAAAACAACAACAAAAAATATATAAATTAGAATTATATTAATAATAAAATTAAAAAAAAAAGAGAGAGAAATTTGAAGAGATGATTGTTTTTAGATGAAGAAGAACCTGAAGACTCGTCGAGAGAGATATGAACAGTTTTGGAATCAGAATGAATGATCAAGTTATTGTCTCCAAACAAAGGTGAATAGCCTTCATCGAAGGGTATAATAGGAAAATTTCTGGGTGAGACCGATGAAGAAAGTAGAAGAAAGAGAAAAGAATGGAAGAAGATGAAAAAGAACGTTCCCATGTTAATTGTTGCAGGTAAAGAAAATTAATAAATAAAATAAATAATAATAAAAAGAGAAGAGAAAGTGAAGAAGAAGAAGAGAAATGGAGAGAAATATAACAAGAGGAGAGGAGTGAGGAGTTTTTGGGATGTGTTCTCTGTTCTGGAGCGGTTGTTATGTAGACAATTTTTTTTTATATATAAATTATTTTTAAAAATTGACTTATATAAGTATGAGAAAAAAAAAATGTAAAATATGTAGATGTGTATCTTGTCACATCTTTATTTTTAAAATAATGTTATGATTTGACACTTTATGATAATTTAATTAAATTTTATATATATTTTTTATCTTTATTTTTAAAATATTGTTATGATTTGACACTTTATAATAATTTAATTAAATTTCATATATATTTTTTTATATTAATAATGTATTATCTTTAAATTTTATAATTATTACTACTTTTTAAAAAGCTTTTTTTCAAATAATATATAAAAGAAGTTTGTTTGAAACAATTATATAAAGTAAAGTGTTGTATGTATCTAGTCATTTAAACTTTTCTTTTAATTCATATGTTTTTAGAAAATAATAGAGATTAAAGATGATATATTTGTCATTCAATAAATATATATTATTTAGTTATATTATACAATTAATTTTAAAAAAGAAAATAGTATTATCGCGTAATATAAAACTGTGATTGATTGGTAATAATACTATTTTACATTTTACATAATTTAGTGTTTGGTAGTAAGATTTAGAATTTGATTAAAAATTATTTTAATTATAATTTAAATTCTTTTAAATAATCAGTCCAAGTTTATTAATTACATGATGTTACTCATTTAATTTAAATTTGAATATGAATATTTTATTAATTTATTTTTAATCAAAATTCGTGAATATTTTTAGTTTAGTGTTAATGTCTAATAAAAATTCACAAATTTGTTTTTTATAAGAAAATTTGTTTTTTTTTAATATGGTTTTAAATTTTATTTGCATGAATATATGTAAACTTATTTACATTTATTGGTAATGCATCTCCATTAAATACATTGATTAATATGTTAAAAAATTTAAATACATTAATGAATAGGTAATAGGAGTTATTTAATAATATTGACTAAAATGGTTTTAGATGTAGACCACCCCACTTGCTTGAAAATCTTTCACCGAATGGATTAAGCCTTCACTTTGGTTTACCGCCCTGGGTCAACCGGACGTCCCAAGTGGTGGTGGTAATCTTATGGCCTCCTTCTAAATCTCTTGATCTTATCTCGACCATGCTTACATTTTTATTTTTATGATTTTATATGAGTTATCTGATATCCAAAAAATAAAAAATTTATAATTATTTTTATGGTGATAATATATGCATAAATAATTAAACACAAATTTTATATTTTTGAGTTATTAAAAAAATTATAATTTAATATATAGTGTTAAAAAAAATTAAATACATTTGATTTACAATATAATTTTTTAATTGTTGATAATAACTTTTGAATCATGATGAACTCTTTAATAAAAAATATATAAAATAATTTATATATAACAATAATATAAAATGAATGATTTAAAATTTGATATAAAAAAAATATAACAAGATAGCAATATAAAAAACAAATGAACCTTAATAAACATAGAAAGAAATTATAAAAAAATACATAAAATAATTATAATTTATATTAAATAACAAAAATACGAGAAAAAAAATAATTTGAAGGTGGAGAATAATTATAATAATTTGATGGAAGCAACAAATAAAAACCACACAAACGAGGTGTAGTAAACTAATGATAATGAATAATATTGAAATACCATAAAATAGAATAGAGGATATTCTAGTAAATGTAATAATTTTTTTAAATATCAAAGTTCAGATCCATCCCCCTCCAAATTCCCACAATTTGAGGGGATGTAAAAAGTTTGTTTTAGAGGAGATTTGCTTATCTCCCCTCCCCTTCCCCCCTCATAAATTTTGAACCAAATACATTTAATTAAAAATATTCCCCCCCCCCCCTTCCTTTTCCCTTCATTTATCTTGAACCAAACACACTCTAAACTTAAGAAATTTTTCTCCTAAGCATTAAATGTGAATAGTAACGTTATCCACATTCCAACTTCATAACTTCCACATCTTTGTTACAAAAGTGATAGAATCGTCATCCTAATCTCTGAAGTGGAATATCTAGTGGAACTTAAAACGTGTAAACATAACCTTTATGGATGTGTCATTTGGCCTAAAGGGTCAACATCGTCGATCGTGGTTAAATTGAAAAAACAAGTTATCTCTATTGCGGAAGAACTGGGATCGTTGGGGAATCACTTCTCTTGAGAAAGATTTCTATGAATTTTCCTTTTCTTCTTTTGAAGACGTCAAAAAGTCAGATCTAACGTGTCACGGAATCTAGAACGAGAGCCATTAAAGCTCTTCACTTGGACCATAAATTTCAAACTTAACTTGCAAAGGGTCTCAAGTGCTCAGTTTGGATCAGGTTATTTGGTTTGGATCAGGTTATTTGGTTTGGCTCAAGAGTATTGGCGCTCTAATAATTTGTTTGGAAACTCCCATTTGTACTAATGTCATTCCTTTCAAACCAATGTTTAATCGTACCTTTGGACACTTTGCCAAGGTACTAATGGATATGAGTCTATTGGCACAAAAAATTTGCAATGTTTTGGTTGAGAGGCAGAGTTTTTGTATTTTTTGTAGACATCGAATATGAAAAGATACCCCACTTTTGCACCAATGCTAACATGGTTGGTCACTCCATTGAGGCTTGTAAGAAAGTTAGGATTGATCCTAAAGTCATGATACAAAGTTCAAGTCACGAAATTCCAAGGTTTATGTTCAGATTACAGATGGCAACAAAAACAAGAACAGTGTTGATAAGGGCAAGAAGCGCATGGTTGATGAAAATAATGCAGACATAAAGCATGGCACCAACAAAGGAAAATAATCAACTCAAACTATTGAAACTGAGGCAGAATTAAGTGGGGTGATTAAAACTTCTAATTTACAAAATAAGTATAATTCTCTCATTGATGTGGTGGTTTAGGAGTTTGAAGAGTCTGATGATAGCTCTCTTGATAAAGAATTCATGGATGCTACTGTTAGCATGGGAAATCTAGTTGAAGAAAATCAATAAATAATGGTAGTAACTACGTTGGAAAATGCTAAGTGTTAAGAGCTTCAATCAAAGGCTTCGACATACTAACTATGTAGACTAAGGTGGTTCGATTAAACATGTCAGATGAGTCGAGGTAAAAACTGGTTTTGAGGAGTCTCAAGAATAGATCCACAAGATTATAATCACTCTCTCTTCGAAACATGTCCAAAATGTCGAAGAGGTTTGTATAAATCAGCTTTTCGACAAAGGTCGAGATTGACACGTCTACTAGAGGTTAGGGACTTAGGACATTATTAAGACTATGTGATGTGGAGTTGTCTCAAAAATACTATAAGATTCTACCAAAGACTCTCGATAGAGGTGGTTAAGAGGTTCAAAGCAGTTATAAACATAGTTATCAACATGATGGTTGGTTTTCAACAGTTTTATCTTTGAATACGCGTGGAAGCAAGATAGAGCAATTAAGTCTAAGTAGTGGGATACATGTCAGATCTTAAGGATCTATTCATTGCCAACAATTACTATTGTGTTAGTATGTAAGTCAATCTCAGTGTATGGGATTAAGGTCGCAAATTTTCACCCATTCTCTATAGAACTAAGGTATCTAAGTCATAGAGAGAAACAATTTATGAGAAATGTATGATTATGCGTACATCTTTTAAATTTCTTTAAGGCTTTTCACTTAAAGTTAAAATATAGAAGTGGTTGTGTAACCAAATAAAAGGTTGGTCATACAACATCTTTGAAATGATTTTCTTTTTCTGTAACTCTAGGGTTCTTACCAATAACCTCACTAAATTGACACTTAAGAGGCTGATATTGAACAATAGGCCTGATTTTCTGTTTGTATCAAAACCTTGGATGAATTTTGATCAGTTTCCTCAAGTTTGGATTTTAAGGCTTGGCCTAAATTGGTTTCCCTTAATATTAGACCTCATAATTTTCCTAACCTTTGGTGTTTCTGCACGTGTTTCCTTTCTTCTATGGTCATTTATGTATGTGACCAACACAATTCTTTCTCTTATGTAATGAAAAATATAGCTTTTGGGATGACTTCTATATATGCTTCCACTAGCTATATTTGAAGAATATTCTTACGGAATGACTTGACCAACCTCTTAGCTTCCCACAAAATCCGTTGGTGCTTAATAGGGATTTTAATGTGGTTTTAGGGGATCATGAGCACAAGGGTTCCACTTCCCCTACTAAAGTGCCTTTACAGGAATTTCATGACTGAACAAATATCAATTAACTCTACCATCTACCAACTATGGAAGCTTTTTATACTTGGTCTAATGGTCGCATTAATGGGTCTCGCACTCTTAAGAGACTTGATAGGGGTATATGTAATTTGGAATGGCTGTCCCTTTGCACCCAAACTTCTTTCCGTACTTTACCAAAGGTTAGGTTTTACCAGTGCCTTTGAAGCTTGAATTAAATTTATCCACTATTTCTCTATCTTCTCAATTCAAATTTCTCCAAATGTGGTCTACTCACCCACTTTACTTGCAAGTAGTCAAAAATAGCTGGAAAGTCAAAATTTCAGGGTGGCATATGTTTGTGTTATCTGAAAAGCTAAAGCTTTCAAAAACAATATTAAGGCCTGGAACAAGGATTCTTTTGGTATTTACCATTAACTTGTTAGTGAAGTTGAGGGAAAGCTAGCCCTGGTGCAACAGAAGATTCAGAGTGAGGGTTAATTGGAAGAAAATAGAGTTAATGGGTGGATCAATTTGAAAGACTTGGAGGATATCTTGCACAAGGAGAATTTGTTCTGGCAGGAAAAATCTAGGCGAAGTTAACACTTGGAAGGGGGATAGGAATACTAAGTTCTTCCACAGGGTTGCCAAGATCAAACATAGCACCAAAATCATCTTTGACCT